TCTATCTATCTACCTATCTATCATCTATCTATCTATCTATCTATCTATCTATCTATCTATCTATCTATCAAGACAGGTTTCTCTGTGTAGCTCTGGCTGTCTTGGAACTTGCTCTGTAGACCAGGCTGGTCTTGAACTCAAAGATTCACCTGCCCCTGCCTCCCAAGTGCTGGGTTTAAAGGCAAATGCCACCACCGCCTGTCTTACATCCCGTTTTTTTGGCCTTCCACTAGTGAATGATGAGCATCTTGTCTACCTTTCCCATCGTTGGGTTACAGACCTGCACTCTCATGTCTTTTTGTTTGTTTTTTGTTTTTGTTTTTAAATGTAGGTTCTGGGGGTCTGAACTCAGGTCCTGATCACTGCCCAACAAGAACGTTCTGGCCCAGCCATCTTCCTAGCACCTCCAGGCACTACTTTGCCATGGATTACCGTCCATAGCACATTCTCTTTCCTGAGTTGGCAATGTGGCTTTGTGGTATGACTCTCAGCAGGGCAGCGGTTCTCAGAGTGTGGCCTGGGAACGAGAAACATCAGCATCACCCTGAAGCCCGTTAGAATCACAGATGATCAGGCCCTATCCCAGAGGATCGCGGATGCAGTAGCTGTGATTTAACTACTGCATAGTCACACTTGTGATACTCTCTACTGTCCAGTCAGGAGTCTGACCCATCACCCCAACCCACAGCTCTTCTCCCTTTCTGGTTTGATTGGTTCCCCCGCCCCCCACCCGCCACTGCTGAATCTAGTTCTCTCAGGAGCACACTACCAGCTCCATTGGTACTTGCTTCAATCTCAGACAGGTCCGATACACTTTCCACAAATCAGGTCAAGATGTCTGTCAGAGTCTACAAGACTCTGGTCTGGGAGTTGGAGTCAGACAACGACCTCGTCAGAGGCACTTGGGGCGCCCTCCGGTACAGTACATCCTTTGATGATACAAATCACACCTCTGTGATGTAATGTGACAGGCATGCCGCTCCGTGTGCAGAGGCCACCTCTGCAGCCAGTGCCTGGCTGCTCCCTCGCCAACGCCACCTCTGGGCCACGTGACCCACTTTAGCGCGGGGTTGAAAGGAGGCTCCGAGCCAGGGGTTTACATTTTCAGGTCAGAATCGTTCCAAGTCCGAGCAGGGATTGCTCTCTTCCCGAAGGCGATGCCCCCTGCGAGGGTTTCCTTTTAAACATTGCAAGCGAGACAGACACTGGCTGGCTGTGGGTGTGGGCTGGGACAACAACGGTCCTTTCTTTAGGACGGGTAACCAGAAAAACGTGAAGTGCCCTGAAGCCAGCCGGGGGCCAGTCATTGCGAAGCTCCTACCGGAGGATGGGCAGGTGACCCTTCCAGATTGCGGCTCTGCAAATTCTCCCAGAGGCATAAGCACCTCGTGGCCCACAGTGGGCGCTGCTTTCAGAGAGACCCAAGCAAAGCTGGCGGTCCAGAAGGGCCGAGGTTCGACCACGGAAGGGTGGAAAGGAGGAGTTTGTGAAACGAGGCTGAAAGAAAAGAGTGAGTGCCACCAACGGTCCTGGAGAACCAGTGGGGACCTGTGACGGTCACTCTTGAAAAGAGGTCAACTATAAAAAGTCCCTTCACAGGGGAGAACAGGAGCAGGCACGGACGGGGTTCGAACCCGTGATCTTCGGTTTACGAGACCGACGCCTTACCACTTGGCCACCGCGCCTGCGTTGGGTTGGCGGCCGCGCGAGCCTCTATGCTGGCGCCACTCCTGTGAGCTCGCCTGACGCGCGCGAGTGCGCGCACGAGCAGAGCGCGGCCGCCCCGCCCCTCGCGGCCGGGCAGGCGGGGCTCCGCACGGGCGGCGCGCGCCAGCGGCGCAGGCGGAGCCCAGGTCTCCGCGCGCGCGCCGCGGGGCTTGCCCGGCGTCTCGGTCTCTGCAGTTCGAATCCCGGATCCGTCAGTGGGCTCTCTCGATTGTGCTGCGGGTCTCCTTGCCTCAGTTTCATCTTTGGAGAAGCGCTTTTCTCCCTCCCCACAAGAAACAGAGGCATGGTGGCCAGCTGTCTTCATTAGCGCGACCTCGGCTGCCCTGCTCAGGGTTGTGAATTGGTGCATCGACTTTGCAGAATAAAAAGCCCCAACTGGATTTTACTCCGACTACTGCTGCTGTCTGTAGTAGGGAATATCTCTGATATCAGCCTCAATATCTGGAAATCTTTACTAGAACTAATGCGATTTGTGTGGGTTTACATCCCCTGCATAGGGCTGTTATGTGCAGGTCTGAGCTGCAGAGGTCTGGACTGCTAATGTATATGTTCCTGTTCATGGATTCAAAGGCCTTTTTATTTTTCTGTAACTGGACTAATTATGCTATTCCCTGTACTTTGCCTTAATTCGGTGGCTTGTAATAGATAAAACAGTATAATCACCACAATCATTGCTAGTCTGAGGTTCGGAAAATACAAATATCTACTGCTCTAATGAGCATACTGCATAATATTAGTGCACTACTACTGAGTAGATTATGTATGCTTAAACAATGTACATATGTAGTACATTATGCACGGATGGATTTCCTCATTCGCCTCATTAAAAGTTGCCTTTTACCTGGCCTGGTGATGCACACCTTTAATCCCAGCACTTGGGAGGCAGAGGCAGGGGTTTCTCTGTGTATTCAAGGCCAGCCTGGTCTACACAGTGAGTTCCAGGACAGCCAGGGTTGTTACACAGAGAAACCCTGTCTTGGAAAACAAACAAGTTGCCTTTCCCCGATGCATATTTCACACAATTGACTGACTCTGTGACTGGGAACTAGACACTGGGAGGTCTGTGCCTTTTTTGCCGCCATGGGATTCTGCTACGTTGTCTCTGCGGCTGAAGCCTTAGAAGCCAGCCTAAGACACCTAAGATGTTAGACTACAAAATGGGACCTTGTAGAAAACAAACAAAACAAACAAATCCAGGACCAAGTTTATCAAATTGTTCTGTGGAAAGCCTTTGGGCAAGGGCATAGGAAGGCATGGGAAAATAACCCAAATATTTCAAAATTAAAATCCAAGCTTTAAAATACTCATAAGCCCAAAGGGCCAGGACTAGAGAACTGGACAGCTGTGTAGTGGCAGACTGTCCTGCCCACACCTTAGAGTGGTGCTTGCAGTCAGGCCTCAATAAATACAGTGGAAGGGTCAACCTGCAGGCATTTCTTTTAAGTGGTTCTGGAGCCTGCACCTTCTGAGTTCCAGGGAGGTTTGCAAGTGCTGAGCAGCCAGCGCACACTAGGACGGCCCCTCGGAGCACGGTCCTTCTCAGGGTCCGGTGGACACTAGGACGCCCCTCGGAGCACGGTCCTTCTCAGGGTCCAGCATGTCTGTTTTCCACTCTACTGGAAGAACTCAAATCTATGGAAAGTTCTCTGTTGCTCCAGGCCTCTAGCTTAGGGGACCCTAGGGAGCTGGAGCGTGCCAGTAAGAAGGCCCCCAAACGCTCTGGGGAGGGTTGCTAGAAGTGTCTTGTAAGGCTGCTGGCTTCTGTTTCCTGTGGTTTGAAGCAAGGTCTCTCTGCGTAGCCCAGGCTGGCCTGGAACTCAGCAACCTGCTTTCCCCTCCTAACAAGCCTGTGCTGCTGCTTGGGGTGGGGGGCTAGCCTGCTTCAAGTGAGAAAGCTTCTGAATAGATGAACCATGTGACACAGTGGGATGTCTTGTTTCATCTATATGGTTGATTTGCCGATCGAGCAATTTGTGTCTATACTTCCTTTGTGTTAAAGAGACACTTCTTCAGATTTGAGAAAAGCTGCCCACAGGTTTCTGTTTTCTTTCTGTACCTCTGCCCTAGCTCCTATCTCCAAGCAGGTTTTTTTTAAAAAAACAAAACAAAACAAAAAACCCAAGCGATGTGACTTACGGGGCTGGAGGGATGACTCTGGTTACAAGGCTTGCTGCTCAGTGTTTAGGCCACTCGATGACAACAGGTTTTTCCCTAATATCCTAAACACTTAAGGTATTGTGTGTTGCTCCTCTGGTGGGGGTGGGGGTGGGGCAGCACTGTGCGTGGTGGACAGTTTAGATCCCAGACCCAGGTGGGTGGAGGATGTAAATGTAAGTTAAGCTGTAGGTGGGTTGGACTTGGGTCTTGGCAGGTATATGAGGCCTCATTCGACTGAGACTGGAGGCAGGCTGGTTGACCTTCGTATCTTCTGAAGCCTAAGAGAGCAAGGTCCTGTTGGGGTCAAAATGTAAGAAGGAGGGTTATCTTGGGCTGATGGTGTAAAGGGCTTGAGATGAGAAAGACGCATCCAGTGAGGGAAACCCTTGAGCTTAGCAGTGGTTGGGGTAGTTAGGATGACTCTGGAGGGCCTGCCCATTTTGGAGAAAGAGGAGGGGGCTGTGACCTGGAGGAGCGAGGACTAAGTCCCTGATGTTGATGGAGGGGGGGGGGCTGAGGCAAATGGTGGTGGGTGAAGTTCCAAAGGAAAGTGTAAAGACAGTGTAACAAGGGGGTAAGATGGGGATCAGGGAGAGATGACGGCTGAGACATGAGGCCGGGAGGCAGAATCCACCATCCGTACATGAGCTGGAAAGAGCAGGTGAAGAGGGGTTTCTTTGGGAGGGCTCTTAGTCACAGAAGAGCCAACCGCAGGAGGTTTATCCAATCTGTATGGAGCTCTTGGAAGAGTTGGAGAAGAATGTTTTTGAGAGAGCAATTGATTTGTTCCACCTTGCCTGAAGACTGGGGATGGAGGTGACATGGAAACACCATGGGATGTTAAGAGCTTTGGCTAGGGTTTGACAGATTTGAGAGGTAAGTTCAGGGCCATTTTCTTATTGAAGGGACATTGGAACTCTGAAATAGGAGCCAATCTCCCTGGAAAGGAGACCAAAAACTGTCTGTGCTCTTTTATTAGTGATAGGGAAAGCTTCTACTCATTCTGAGAATGTATCCACCAGGACCAAAAGGTATCTGAACCATCTAACTGCGGGCATATGGGTGAAGTCTAGCTGTCAGTCGGATCCAGGGAGGGGTCCCCTGGCTTGATGAGTGGGGAAAGGGAGACTCCGATGCCCAGAGATGGGATTAGACGTTTGATAAATTTTACAAGAAGCAGTGATAGTCTTTTAAAGGGATAGATCCTCAGAGGTAGGTTGTAAATAGGTTTTAATAAAGTGGACAAATCCAGGTTATTGGGGTGAAAGATCTGGTGTGGATAGAATAAAATCTGTCTAGTATCTAAGGATGATAATGAATATGTGGGTTGTAAAATGAGAATGCCTTGTGGTGTGTGAGAAGGACCCAGGCCTCTGAGAGCCACAGCTCTAGCTGCCTCGCCAGCTTGGTTATTTCCCTTAGAGATAATGGAATTGTTTGCTTGGTGTGATCGGCAGTGGACAATTCCTATGGCTGTGGGAAGATGAGAGGCCACTAGCAGGGCCATGATACGGTCTGGGTTGGTTATGGACCCTCCTTTTGTTGTTCACAGCCCACGCTCCTTCCAAATAGCTACATGTGACAAGAGAAGGTGAGACGTATACTTAAAGTCTGTGTAAAGGTTTAGGGATTGTTCCTTTGCTAGTTGTAAGAGGTATTAATTCAGCCTGTTGGTCTGTGGTTTGGACTGGCAGAGTCTGTGCTCCAACCACTATGGTGTCTGAAACAATAGCGTATCCTGCTTTATGAACTGCATCATGTAGGAAGGAGCTTTCATCTGCGTACCAAGTACAGATGACCTGAGGCAGCACTCCCTCATGTGTGTATGTAGGATGAGATAAGAACTCTTCTAGGGTCTCAGTGTAAGAGTGAGATGGGGAGTACTCTGGGGTTAGTTGGGGGAAGAGATTGAAATGTTAAGAGGTGAGCATGGCTGAAAGCTAAGTGTGGTGACCTCTACCTGAAAAGAGAGAACTTGGGAAGGGGGTGGTGTCTGGAGGTCCTTGTATGTTAGAAGGTGGGACAGGTGGTGAGGAGAGGACAGTAATTGGTGACCCAAAGGTTACCTTCTTTGACTCACTAGAAGATGTTCAGCTGTGACCAGAGGGTGCAAACAAGGTGTCATTCATTGGATAGTGTGGTCTAATTTTTTCAGTAAGTGTGCAACAGACACAAAGGGAGGTCCCTGTTGGTGACCCAGGACCCCGAGGGCATTTCCCTCCTTTTCAGTAAGAGAGAGAGAGAGAGAGAGAGAGAGAGAGAGAGAGAGAGAGAGAGGAGTGAGTTAATTCCAGAAGATGTAGGGCCAGGCCCTGGAGGAGGGCCTGTTGAAGCTTATGAAATGTTTTGGTAATGGGTGCAAGGAGGGGTCCATATGAGTGATCTAGGGCCACCTCATATAGGTGATGGACTAGAACAGAGAAAGAAGAAACCCAAGAGCATAAGGAACCAGCCACTCCTAGGAAGGACAGAATTTCATCCTTGGTGGTGGGGACTGTGAGTGACTGGATTAAGTGTTTTCTTGTTTTCTATCTAGGGTAATGGCCTGTCTTAGAGTTTCATTGTCGTGAAGAGATACCATGACCATGGCAACTCTTATAAAGAAAACACTTAATTGGGGTGGCTCAGTTACAGTTTCAGAGGTTCGGTCCATTATCATCATGACAGGGAGCATAACAGCATGCAGACAGACATAGTGCTGGCTATATCTTGACTTGCAGGCAACAGGAAGCCAATTAACTGTGACACTGAGTGAAGCTTAAGCAAAAGACCTTAAAGCCTGCCTCCACAGTGACA